TCAGGAATCTTGGAGTTATCTTTGATCAGGATTTGTCATTTAACTCCCACATAAAGCAAACCTCTAGGACTGCCTTCTTTCATTTACGTAATATTACAAAAATTAGACACATTCTATCACAGATGCAGAAAAACTAATCCATGCATGTGTTACTTCAAGGCTGGATTACTGCAACTCTTTATTATCAGGTTGCCCCAATAAGTCCATTAAAACGCTCCAATTAATTCAGAACACTGCAGCACGAGTACTGACAGGAACTAGAAAAAGAGATCACATCTCTCCTGTACTAGCTACTCTGCACTGGCTCCCTGTAAAATTTAGAATAGAATTTAAAATCCTCCTCCTCACCTATAAAGCTCTTCATGGTCAGGCCCCTTCATATCTTAAAGAGCTCATAGTACCCTATTACCCCACTAGAACACTACGTTCTCTGAATGCTGGGCTACTTGTGGTTCCTATAGTCTCTAAAAGTAGAACAGGAGCCAGAGCCTTCAGTTACCAAGCTCCTCTCCTGTGGAACCAGCTTCCAGTTGTGGGTTCGGGAGGCAGACACCCTCTCCACATTCAAGAGTAGGCTTAAGACGTTCCTCTTTGATAAAGCTTATAGTTAGGGCTGGATCAGGTGAGTCCTGAACCATCCCTTAGTTATGCTGCTATAGGCCTAGACTATCAGGGGATTTCCCATGGTGCACTGAGCTTCTCTCTTCCTCTCTCTCTCTTTCTGCATACATTCATGTCCCATTAATGCATGTTACTAACTTTACTTCTTCTTCTACTTGTTCTTGTGCTTTCTCGTCTTGCAGGTTCTCATGGATCCTGGTGGAGCCTCCTGCCATGGTCCTGCTTGACTGCCATTGCTAATATCACTGATATTATTGTTATTATTATTGATATTATTATTATTACTACAGTTACTATTATTACTATTGCTCATTGTCCCCCACCGTTGCTATTGTCGTCATCATCATCTTCTTCATGTTCATCATCATCAGTCACTATTAGTGTAGTTGTTGCTACTGTTGTTGCTGTGCACCTGTCTGTCTGTCTGTCTGTCTGTCTGTCTGTCTGTCTGTCTGTCTGTCTGTCTGTCTCTCTCTCACCCCAACTGGTCGAGACAGACGACCACCCACCTAGAGCCGAAGGGTCTCTCCTAGGTTTCTGCCTCTTTAAAGGCAGTTTTTCCTTGACCCCGTCGCCAAGTGCTTGCTCATGGTGGTACTGTTGGGTCTCTGTAAATGTTAAGAGTTCGGTCTAGACCTGCTCTATTTGAAAAGTGTCCTGAGATAACTTCTGTTATGAATTGGCACTATACAAATAAAATTGAATTGAATTGAAAATTGAATATGGTGTATTAACCATGTGTCTCTTGAAAGCCCCAAAATACAACAGCAGAAAGAGACAGCCAAGCATTAACACAGACATTCAGAATAGATTACAGACTTCTACAGTGGTTAACAGAGGAGGAGAGAGAGAATGAATAAAAGTGGAAGGTATGAGGAGCAAGTGTGACATGAGGCTTACAAGGCTTTAACATGAGGAACTGGAGGAGAAAAGGTAAGTATGGAGTAGGAGCTATTCATAGATTTTACGTGATGTCACACCCTCATTGGAACGCGGTTGGAGGGCAAAACAAGGCTTTCTTCTGGTGCCAGCCAGCTAACTTAACAGTAGTGATTGTCGACCCAAACCTAGTTTATAAATGTCGGATAGTTGTTGTGTGATTAGATGCACTTATCGACAAGGAGACAGGACTGGGTTGTGCTTCTACACAATAAAACCTCTGTAATCTTTCTGCCCTGTCGCTGTCTGAAGGGAGTTTCTATCTCCAGTGTTTGGCTGCACCAAAGCACCTGAATTACCTGAATTAATAACTGTCTGTACTCTGCTGAGTGTTTATTTCTGTTGTCTCTACATTGTGGATGACATTAATTAATTACTCTTACTGGCTTTTTGTTCGTGGCGCTTTTGTTGCACTTGCAGAGGGGTGTTGATTTTGGTTGTGTGGGAGCTCTCGTTTGTATGCTTTCACTCTGGTGGTAGTGTAAGGGGAGAGATTCTCCACAAGATAGATCTCTAAACTGGATCTCTGGCAGGGACTTCGCTGTTTTCAGTGACTGAAATACTGTGGTAGGTGCTGTATATGGATCGCAACTGCCCAAAACTTGCAGTTTGTTCAGGTATCTTTGTTATTCTTCTTTTGAGAGGTGATATAAATATACATGGCTTGAAATTAATGGATAATTCACATGCCTCTTTTGTGGTTCCAGTTGCCAGGTAAATTGCCATATTGGAACATTGTTTTGCCCTCCAGTGCTCTGTGCCAGTCATGTGACTAAAACTATAAATTGCAAGGTGAGTCAGGTAAAGTGCTGATCAGTGCTCTCTAGCAGGCAGGGAGACCAACAAATGTGTGGAGTGGTATTTCAGATAAGAGCATGTCTGATACTAACACCCAGGACATGAGGCCCTGCCTTTCTGTTTGTCTGCAAGGCACTTCAGGCCACACAGGTGTGGCCTGAAGTGCAGTGAAAAAATATTTTTAGTGCTATTATTTATGACAGCGTCACTTGAAATCACATAAATTCGATTAGTTTAAGATAAATGTGCAATATCTGAGATGTGATGCTTTCTGTAAACACTTAGATGCCTGTAGCTAATAGGAAGGGGCCAGTCAGAATTGTTCTTGCTAGTCTTGGGTCTGGAGAGGTTATTGACAGAGTGCTCCTAGACATCAACCGAGGGGGTTCATTGAGATATAGTGTGAGTTTCTCCAGATTATCTATTGGGTTAGATATGTTTCCCTGACATTCCCCACAATTGTAGTGCAGCCTTTGGTTTTTGAAATTTCTCTCGTCCCTCCCTGGGGATACTATAGCCTAGGTAGCAGGGGGTAGGTGGGCAGAGATGATCACTGTTGGATAAGCAGGAGAATTGTGTTGATTGTTTCTGTTGTTTATAACAATGACAAACAACCTAACGCACTCTGCATCATGTCAGCAGACCAACATGGCTTCAGAAAAGCCGAAGAAGACACACAAAGCCATGAGTGACAAAGACTGGCTTGATCACTTGGAGAGATTCACTAGTTTAGGAGTGTGGCCATCTGGGGAGGGAAATAGACCTGCTCCCAGACAAAAAAGATGGCATGTTATGTACCAGAAGGTAAATGATTCAGCTTCATTGTATATAAAATCGAATTGTTTGTGGTATTCCATGTTATTTGTGTGTAGATAAGACATGATAGGCAAGTAGATTTTTCTCTTAATACAAATTATATAGGTTTTTAAATGTAATACTGTATATATTTATTGGCTTCTGGCTGCTTTGAGATCACGCACACAAACTAGTCATAGGCATAATATTTTTTTATGGTTACAGATAGAAAAGTGCCCTCTACTCTCAAAGGGACAGGCCACTCTTTAGGGCACTCTTCATACATGCTCATGTGGATTTCATAAGGTGCCATCAATTATCCAACATTTCTAAAAAAGCATTAGACAGGATGGAGAATATTAGTGTGTCTCTAAATACTCTCTGTCTGGTATGTCTTAATGCACTTATTGCAGGGTCATCCTCCAAAAGTGGATGCCACCCCTGGCCAGGGCACGCCCTCCACCTCCAGGAGCAGCAAGCTATCTGCTACACCCACACCATCTTCCTCCAGGAGCAGTCCGGCAGATGCTATTGCGTGAGAGGGGCCAAGGGAATGGACCTGTTAGAGTTATCAATCAGCTGGAGGAGAGCCACAGTGAGGAGTATCTAGAACGTATTAATCGATTCACTTCAGAGGGTGCTGCGTTCCTGAACAAACTTGGCCTGCAACCAGTGACCTGGCAAAAACCTCCACCACTTGAGCCAGTACCAACTTACAAATGGCTCCTTACTGTTTACAGCCAAGATATTCTTACCAGGCTGGAAGACATCAGAGTTTCTCTGACTTCCACCTATGGCTCCATTCTAAAAATAGACTCCACTAAGAAGGTCAGAGTTGTTTTTGTAGCTGTTATTTGTCATGTATTGTTGGACCAAGAGAATGTTATGTAGAAGTTTACAATGGTAATTATTTATGTATTGTATGGTCTCTTTTAGATTACCAACAAACTGAGTGGGCCTGCCAAGGGCACTGCACAGTGGCTGACCTCAGTTGGAAATGAGGTCAAATACTTATCAGTGTTCTGACCACGGATGAAGGCGCTGGGCTGGACCAAATGGCTGTAGGACTGGTGGAGAGATATCGGCGGGCAGGTGTTGCACCTCCTACCGTCTTGTATGTGGACTGGACTGCAGGAGACACTAAACTAAAACAGCGGTTCAGTGGCTGGCCAGATGTCATAGTTCGCCTTGACATCTTGCATTACATTAGACATCTGGCAGGTGGGTGTACCACTGATGCACACCAACTGTACCCCATCTTTATGTCAAGGCTTTCCTTTTGTATATTTGAGTTGGATGCAGGGGACCTTTGCCTGCTAAGAAGAGCCAAGAGGGATGAGTTGATCAAAGAAGGATGGCCTGCTATGACAGATCAAGAGGTGGACCATCACATCACAAAGACAGAGCTGGCCTTACATTGCCGGAGGAGGACACGAGGGACAGAGATAACTGTCAAACTCATTGACGCACTTGGAGAGCTCTTGAGTGGCAAGGGGACCGATGCCCTTGGAGTGCCACTGCTTGACCCTGTGCGGATGCCAGGCATTTGGCAGATTCAAAAGCGGCATGTCTCATGCATTCAAGACCCTCCAAATGTCCAGCTCCACACAGAAACCAGAGAACTCCACAAGGGTGGCATTGCATTAAAAACATACCGGTGTGCCTGAGGTTCCACCTCTTTGGAATCATTTCACTGTCACCTTAACCGATTTATTCCAGGTTTGTCTTTGCAGAATACTGTATGGTTATAATTTGTTTAGGTCTATATTTATGTTTGTTGTATATTTCTAAATAAAATGTATTGTTTTTTGTTTGTTTTCACAGGCAACAGCGCGAACAGCCTCAACTTTCAGCTCTATCTGCTGGAAGGTCTGTTCCGCTGGAACAAGAATCGGGCAAAAGCTGCAGTGAGAGACAGCGGTCCATTCCTGCATACGTACTCTGGAGAGCTAGTGTATGCAGTCAATGAAAACCATGAAAAATTGTTCGGCACAAAACTGGTGCCTGGATTCACTCCACCAGGAACCTACACAGGTAGAGTAGATGGTTCTTTAAAGTGTCAATTAAATGTCATGATCTTAATGAAGTGTTGATTACGTTGCATTGTTGACAGTTGTTTTTTATTTCAAAGAACACAGTTTTTACTTTTTGAACTTGCTTTAATTTGTCTCCTATTACAATATCTCTTCAGGAGAGTTGATTGGAGTGCAATACCTGTTCAGGCAAAACAATCAGGCCCTGGAGGACATGTCTCCAGACTCAGACAGGACCTCACAGTTGCTGGAGGAGATAACAGAGGAGGAGCAAGGGAGAAGGATGAGGGATTTGTTGACACACTGGGAGAGGAAGGCATTGTAGTAAGTCTAGTGGTACCTTCACCAACTAACCTGCCATCACCGTCTCTGCCCAGTGCCATGCCTTCTTCTGGGGTACCGCTGCATAGACCCTCAATCTTTCCTGTTCCCTCAGCAATGGTAAGATTTCCTGTTTGTCAAATTAAATGCACAAATTATATCATATAATTTCAAATTGCAAATGTTAAAATCAGATTTACATGTACAAAACCCACCTAACCAGCAAGTGTATTTTTCCAGGCTGTCCAGTCTCCAGAACTGCCGGGAATCCAACTCACTCCGCTGCACTCCTGTCCACTCACCTGCCTGCTCACCTGTTGTTGCCTGTTCCATCTGTGCCCAGTGCTGTGCCCTCCTCTGCAGCCGCACTCCTGCCTACTCACCTGTCCACTCACCTGCTGTCGCCTGCTCCATCTGTGCCCAGTGTTGTGCCCTCCTCTGCAACCCCACCGGTCAGTGCCCAGTCTCAGTCCACTGCACACTCCGCCACAATTCACTTCAAATAATATAATTTCAAATTGCAAATGTTAAAAACAGATTTACATGTATGTAACCCACCTAACCAGCAGTTATATTTTTCCAGGTTGTCCAGTCTCCAGAACTGCCCGGGAATCCAACTCACTCTGCTGCATTCCTGTCCACTCACCTGTCCACTCACCTGCCGTTGCCTCTTCCGTCTGTGCCCAGTGCTGTGCCCTCCTCTGCAGCCAGTGCCCAGTCTCAGTCCGCTGCACTCCTGTCTACTCACCTGTCCACTCACCTGCCGTTGCCTGTTCCTTCTGTGCCCAGTGCTGTGCCCTCCTCTGCAGTTCTGCTGGTCAATTCAATTCAATTCAATTCAATTTTATTTGTATAGCGCCAATTCATAACAGAAGTTATCTCAGGACACTTTTCAAATAGAGCAGGTCTAGACCGAACTCTTTAACATTAATTACAGAGACCCAACAGTACCACCATGAGCAAGCACTTGGCGACAAGGGCAAGGAAAAACTGCCTGTTAAAAGGCAGAAACCTAGGACAGATCCTCCGGCTCTAGGTGGGTGGTCGTCTGTCTCGACCAGTTGGGGTGAGAGAGAGAGAGAGAGAGAGAGAGAGAGAGAGAGAGAGAGCGACAGACAGACAGACAGACGCACAGCAACAACAGTATTGGCAATGGCAGTCAAGCAGGACCATGGCAGGAGGCTCCACCAGGATCCACGAGAACCTGCGAGACGAGAAAGCACAAGAACTCCGGGGAAGAAGTGGAGTTAGTAACATGCATTAAAGGGACATGAATGAGTGCAGAAAGAGAGAGGAAGAGAGTAGCTCAGTGCACCATGGGAAATCCCCCGATAGTCTAGGCCTATAGCAGCATAACTAAGGGATGGTTCAGGACTCACCTGATCCAGCCCTAACTATAAGCTTTATCAAAGAGGAATGTCTTAAGCCTACTCTTGAATGTGGTGAGGGTGTCTGCCTCCCGAACCACAACTGGAAGCTGGTTCCACAGGAGAGGAGCTTGGTAACTGAAGGCTCTGGCTCCTGTTCTACTTTTTAGAGACTATAGGAACCACAAGTAGCCCAGCATTCAGAGAACGTAGTGTTCTAGTGGGGTAATAGGGTACTATGAGCTCTTTAAGATATGAAGGGGCCTGACCATGAAGAGCTTTATAGGTGAGGAGGAGTATTTTAAATTCAATTCTACATTTTATAGGGAGCCAATGCAGAGTAGCTAGTACAGGAGAGATGTGATCTCTTTTTCTAGTTCCTGTCAGTACTCGTGCTGCAGCGTTCTGAATTAATTGGAGCAGTGCCCAGTCTCAGTCCGCTGCACTCCTGTCCACTCACCTGCCCACTCACCTGCTGTTGCCTGCTCCGTCTGTGCCCAGTGCTGTGCCCTCCTCTGTACTCCTGTCTACCTTCCACCACCAGCTACGTCTCTGCCCAGTGCCATGCCTTCTTCTGGGGCACCGCTGCACAGACCCTCACCCTTTTCTATTTCCTCAGCAAGATTTTCTGTTTGTGAAATTAAATCCACAAATCATATCATTTCAAATTGCAAATGAATCAGATTTGAATGTACATAACACACCTAACCAGCAGTTCTATATTTCCAGGCTGTTGATCAGCAAGGGGTTCCCGGTATGGACAGGGCGGACGTGTTGGCAGAGTACTTGGTGGAACTGCGCAGTCAGACAGCTTTAACACTCACCAACCAGCAAGTGGCCACCATTGTCAGTCTGTGGGACAACCTGGAACAGTTAGACAAGGACATGGTAATATATGCAGCACGGCACCAAGACCGGCTAGTCACTGGCCGTTTTAGGTCGCCGAATAAGAAGGCTGTCTTTACACCAGGTGTAGACAGCACCAAAAGGTGTGTGCTCGGCTCCACAGGGTCTACAGCACAATGGCCCAACTGTTGCCGGCTCGTTGAGTTAATCTTCATACGGCTGTGTGACCTCCACAGATCTCCTAAAAAAACAGGGCATGGTTTCACATTCGAGATGGGATCTGATCCTGAGAGACTACAGGAGAATCAGGCAACTTATTCTGGGCAGTGGACAAATAACTCAGCACACAACTCTGCAGCTTGTTGAGGTCAACGTGGCACAATCAGCGGTTAAAGGGTCAGGAGGTGTCAGTTCTCGTACAAGGACTGCAGCTACCTGCGGCAAGACCTGTTGCAGTGCAGGCTCTCGCCCCTGCAAGAGAGCAGTCTGTCGTGGCTCCAACTTACGGCCACCAGCTGCACACTTACCAGTTGCCACTCAAAACAGCAGGTCAGGCAAAGACTAAATTTAAAAAGATTCTGCCCTCTGCTACCTGCCTGTCTGCCTCAACTACCTCTGTCACCTTTGTCCGTCAGTTCCCTTGTCTACAGCCCAAGCCAGCACAGCCAGTTCGTGGGACACCCGTTTTGTTGCTGCCCAGTGCTACCCCATTGGCCCACCCACCTGCATACACACAGCAAACACCCACCCAAGCACCTGCAGACACACAACAAACACCCACCCTTCCACCTGCAGACACAAAACGCAAGTATACACGAATTGTGACCTCAAATGCATGTCGTAAATGTGGCCAGTTTCGCGCTGTGGAAACTGGCCACAGTCAGTATAAAGGCAAAATATTTTGCCCAAACACTGAGGCAGTTACAAAAGAGGAGTGGCTACAACGTATGAGGATATTGAAGTAGTTTAACTTATTACTTTAATATTAATAAATATTTTTTATTACCATCTAGTGTTAATAATTGTTCTATCAATAAATCAGTTTTTCTTGATTGCTTATATGCGCTGGGATCCACTCGACTGTTTGTACAGTATAGGCCTATTTATCTGTGGTTATTGTTGATCTTGTATATCAATATCTTTGTAATATTTTTATAAATCTTTATATCTTTATAAATCTAAAATGTATGTTTTATTATTCTGGTTCCTTTTCAGTCAGAAAGTAATCACTGACCTGACTGAAATAACTGACTGACCTGACCTAATTGCCCTTTTGCCTAGAAAATGTGAAATGTTGGGCATAGTGTTGTGTTAATAAATATATTTCCTTGTGGAATTGATTATGTTGTGTTGTATTCATTTACAGTGCGTTCTAGAAGCACGTATAATATCAAGAAGCTGCTTGCAGTTTGAATGAGACATTACAATATATACATACACAAACATATAGGACACAAGTAAATGCCTTTAAATGGACAAATATTTTTATTTTGGACAAAGTCTTTAATAATTTACTTCAAAAATGCCACTCTCCAAGAAGAGGAAAAGAGAAATTAAGGACAAAGTCGGCAAGTTTAATGCGCTTGACATGAGGCCAATGAACATAGGTTTTAAAGAATTAATACTTAAGCCAGGATACCCCTTTCCCAAAAGAGTTGTTTTTATTGAAGAAAATCTGCTAGATGCTACATTCCCACGAAAAACATATATAATTATTGATAGAAACTAGACTTCAAACCACAAAGACTTTGAGACCTTTAATAATTTGTCTCTGGTGTAGGTGCTATGATAAATAACAGCAGTACCATTTGTTGGTTCAACAGTGGTTTAAATGGAGCGAAGCCTGCGAGCTAGTTCAGGCAGTCAACTTGAGCTGCGCATGACATGCCCCACTCCATAATCACAAACCAAGCACACCTTTCCAATCTGGCGGTCTATTTAAACTGAACAATTTCCCAGCTCTCCCTCTGCTCTGTCAAAAACGCATTTTCCTCGGCCCGTAATATAAACAACCAGGGCCATCCTCTGCTACCTGTGAGATTAACTTCAACCTCTCCCGCTGCCTGCTGATGTCACACCCCACAGGATTCTGGGAACTGCTGTCCCAGCTCCAACAATGAGCTCTCGGTTCCTGCACCCCTGCAGTAGCAATTCCTCATTTCCTCAGGAGTCAAATTCTAACAGGTAATTTGTCTCTCACTCTGCATTTATTAAAAGAATACATTTCATAAATCTATATTGACGGGCTTAGGGAAGTAATACAGAGTAAGTAATAGATGAGAATTAAATTTGTGGATTGTGGAGATTTTCCGTAGTTCTGAAAGATAGTAATCACAGATTGTCAAAATGTCAGCATTGCTTTTGGCTTCTTTAGAGACACCATATGTGAAGTTATTTGCAACACAGAGAGGAGCTTGATACTATAGCTATAATACCAGACCTATATACTGTATGCTGTTCCTTCTCCCAGACAACCTCTACCTGTTCAAGAACTGTAAAATCTCAGCTGCAGTTTAAAATCTGTGCTAAATACTGTAAGCCAGCCTCCAAAGTGACAGGTACTTTCTTCAGGATAGATGTCACGGGGCGGAAGTTGATGTTATTTAAGCATGCTTTTACTTTGGATTTGTTGTGTTTTTAGTATTTGCTGTGTTTTTACCTTATTTTATTGCGTGCTTTTATTTTGAATATTTATTTTTGTGTGTGTTTTTAAACATTGTTTTTACTTCCGCCATCGAACATGTACCCTAATCATGATTAAGGACTTGCACCTGGGGACTAGAAAGTTGATTAACTGTTTTAGATAAAGGGGCAGGAGAGGAGCAGGTCTGGCGTTCAGCTGCTGAGTGCGGCCCTGCCGCTGCTGTTGCTCTCGGTAAGTAAGTCTCTTTTAAGACCAGTGTTTGTCGTAGTGTATAGTGTACGAAGCTGTGGTAGTTTAAAGGACGTTTGACTGGCCCTAAGTTTTCCTCTGCAGGCTCTGCCTGAGGAGAGGAACCAGGCGAGAAGAAGGTGGTCGCCACCAGAGACCCGTGGACGGTCATTTTTAACCTCCAACTCCTGTTGTGCCGCATTATTTTAGCTTCATTTTAGTTGGTTGTGCTTTTTGCTTTTAGTTTCTTTTAAGGGGGAACTCTTAGTTGTTTTATTTCTCTTAAAATAAATTTGGTTACTCCTCCAACTGGTTGTACTCACTGTTTTAAATAGCACTGTTTTTAACTGCTCTCCCCCGACATAAAGAACCTTTTAATCTTTTATCTTAATTTTAATCTTGGTAGTTTTAAGAGGTCCAAGGCCTCAGTCAAACCTAGGTGGCATTGTCGGTCCCCGTTTTTAACATATCTACACCTTGCACGTCTTAAATATAGGTCTCCTATCTGCAATAGTTTCAATGAGAATTTGTACATTTTCTAACTGTAAATGTTTCTGTAAAATGGTGTTCTAAATTGTAGTGTTCTGATAAGCTGACATTCGGTTGCCACAGTAGTCCTTCTTGACATAAGCATTATGCTGGATTCTCTACCTACAAACTTCATTTCGTCTTGCATCTTTTAGATGATTTTCAAGTAGTTGACTTTCCCTCGTCCCCGCCAATATCTCTACAGTCAGAAGCTTTTCCAGGAGTAAGGCGTACCGCTTTCCGAAGAGAAACTGTAGGCCTTCTACACATTTTCACAATTTCTTGGCATAACCCTTGATAGTGTGCTCATGCAAGCATCTCTGCAACAAGACAAGCTGTCTCGCATCAGAACAGCTATTAAATCTGGTCTGCTAGAAGATTTTCTCTAACTTCACTATGCGCATTATGCCTCACGGTCGTCCTTCATATCTTGCTTGCTGGTTTTGGCAAAATCTGTTAGAATCTTAAGATACTGTGTTTTTAGACAAAGGCTGGTGCTCAGATTTGTGGTTCTAGTCTTTGCTATGTGATAAACTAACTTGGATTGCTTTTTATAATGACTACGTGGAATCTGTGGATTTCCCCCAGTTTTGAACGATGCAGCGCCTCTGTTGGTTTTTGGGGGTTCTCATAATGAGTGGTTTGCAGACATCTGGCCTACTGAAATTCAGTCCCTTAAAACCAGTTCTAAATCCACTGCTCTGTATGAACTCTACCCATTGTCGTTCATCATTGTCTGTGCATTTATTGTTTTTACTTGAATCTCGTAATCTTGAAAAGCAAACTATCAAAGTAATGCAAGCAGGGATTCAGTTTCATATTCGATGTAAAGATCCAGCATCCCAAAGTCTGCTGGGAAATCCTTCCATTCAGCTGCTCCTCAATGGCTTTAAAAGGTGCATCCTCAAGGCAACGATAAGACTCATCACACAATTCATTGGTGCATAAATTGTTTTTCACTTATATTGATGTAATGTTGGAAGAAGTTCTGTTAATGGCTTTTACAGGTTTTCTCAGGTGTGAATATGCATAAGCATGATCTTCCCTTCTCTGATTTACCCTTAGAAGATCACATCACATGTACTCAATGTTCTTGAAGCATTCACAATCTGATAGATCTCACCAACGCGCTAAAATTTCATTGCTATGACTAACACTATATTTTGTCCATTCTCTTCTATTATGAAATCCTTGCATCATCGCTCCAACCCATCGGTTGGCTCCCTTGTTCATCGTCGATGATTGTAGCTCATGACGAGATCCTGGTTCTGCTCTCTGCTGAGCTGCGGCCTAACGCGAACACTATTCCCTTCACTACCTAAGATTGGTGCAGCTACAACCGCAGCTCTCCATCTGCCCGCATCAACCAATCTACCAAGGCTATGTCAGGCTCCACAAGAAGGAATCTTGACCGCGCAAAAGCTCATTAGCTCCTGCTCCCCTTAATGCATTTTAATATTTGTATCTGCTGCCTAATTATATATTTGCATATCTGGTGGTTGCTGGGTTTAGAGTATTTATATCTTTGCTATATGGGAAATGTTCCTGCATTAGGTTTTTGCTAAGTAGTATATTCCTCTGGGGCCAAGGTGCTTCCAGGGAATGGCCACAAGGCAGCTGGTGCCAAGGCCCACACATACAGTAGCAGTTTTGTTTTGCTAGATAGTATATTCCACGGGGGCCAAGGTGTTTCCGAGGAATGGCCACGCTGTTTTGGTTATCAAAGTTTATAATTAAACGATAAATTGGAAACAATAGCCAATAATTGATTGATCGGTCTCATAAAAATACACAAAACTATTAATTTAGAAATCGGATTAATAATTAAATTAATAACTATAACCA